GGGGGGGGGGGGGGGGGATTGTAAAGATATATTCAGACTTGACTTCTACTTCAAAGAGTACAATAGTGGTTTCTATAAAGATCCTTGGCTTGTGAAAAATGTGTGATTAGTTGCTCAACAAATTCAGTAATATTTTATGATTGTGTGCTTTTTTTTTCTAGGCATCAAATTCGACAAAGCCTAGGACTATCACCTCCATTATCCCCCCCTTTCTAAAAAGGGGGGGGGAGGTCTTCAGGAAACAACCGCTCTACTCCCAGGGGGTCGATATCCCCCACCTTCAGGAGGGATATACCAGGCTTGTTTGGTTTGGTAATCCCTAGGACTATCTACGCTAAAAATGAGCATGGGCCAACAAAAATTTCCTTTATCCTTTGCCTGACATAACTTAACACAATGGAAATTATGTTATGATGCATTAAATACAAACCCTAAGATAATGCTACGATTCATATGATAAAAAATCATCTTTCGTAATATTTTCCCATTCATCATGGTCAAGTATGTCCTATTAGGACTAAATTATCCTGTAAACCTTGCAGCATTGGGTAAGTGGTTGAATATTGTTAAAAGTGTTTTAAAACAGCATAATAAATGAAGTACAATGCTGGGCCATGTGCCGATATAAACAAACCCTACAATAAACCTAATTATGCAAAAGCAGAAACATCACATATATAAACCAATTATTGCAATAAATACTAATGAATTGACTGTTTAAAACCAGCACCAAAGTCGGGAGAGAGTGTAACCATCTGTTGACAGTTCGTGATTTTGGGCATATTGGTGCTTGTGCATTAATAAAAACGTGAGGATTTCCGTGAACCTTTGATTCATTATTTGCAAGTTTTTATCTTCTCTTATTATAAAGCATAATGGGTGCCATTCAGAAAACAGTGCATATGTATCCTATAATGCATGCTCACAAGAACCTAAGGCAAGACCATAAATGTCAAATATGAACGATAATGTGTTTTCCATACCATATACCCTGGAAAAGTAGACAAATAAAACTTAAATTCTACATACCAAAAGCTTGGTTTTTCATTCAAATTATGACCTTTTCACATTCGTTGATATTAGTAAAATATGAACATATAAATCAGAATCACATGCTTTAGAGCAATGTAAAGCATGCAGCATGTGGTAGTGCGATAAGTTATTCAACCACCTCAATTATCTTTATTTTAAGTTTTAATATAAAGCAACGTTGTGCAATAATGTGTAGCCCATTTAGGAAACTATAAAGATATAAGTAAATACGCAGTTATGAAAACATGCAAGACTTTCTATGAAAAAACATAATGCTACAACTCACAAATGGTGTATGTTTAAGGACGTAAAAGGGACCATCTTCAATTATGTTTTTGCTTAGCACAGAGTAAGTACATGAACAGAAAGGGACAATATTGAAAAGGGTATCACGCTACAACAAATAGCAATATTTCATCTGCTTGACAGCAGATGAGATGGCTAGACTTAAGAAAACAAAGAACAAAAATCATATACACATGCTGTAACTTGTAAGCAGATAAAAGAGGAATGTACAGTGGCCAACCGTATCATAACAAGATTAACAAATACAAACATGGGTCAAGTTAACTTCTTATGTATGGTCCCCGAGGAGAGATGACTAACAAGAAACCACAGTACAGTTTCTGGTGTGTCAGAAAAGAGAAACAAGGTTATACCATGGATAAGGCAATCCCTGACACAAAGTTTTTGCCATCTATACTCACACAACACCAGAAGTATATTTATGTGATTCTTGAACACACCGGTGATAGTGAATAGAGTTTTTCCATGACTTTAAAGGATATATAGACCATACTATTGACAGCCCCTCAATTCAAACGCTCTCTATTTCATATGCAACAGCTAATTATTACCCCATTCTCATGAGAACAAATTAATATATCAGTACTTCCAAATATGACTCGGTCTAACTTGTGGAAAAGTACTTTATGAAGTAAAAGTTATACCAAATTTGAAATTTTTATTCAACTCTCATCCTACCTGCGCAAATTCATTCCAAATTTGCCTGACATTGCAGCATAAAGCATATTACTACTCAACATAAATATCCTGCGTTCTACTTTAACAGTTTAACGTGCATGCAGTTTCAGAAATTTGATAGTTCCAGGTACATCAAAAGCAAAAGTAGCAGCCGAAAACATAACATTTTGAACTTATTATGCATATATAGTTCCAGGGAAAAACAAACCACATCAACCAAATTCATGAAATTGCATAATATGTTGAGAATAAAGTCATTAACTTCAATCAAATTTTGAAATCGTTTAAATGCAATGCATACCTAACTTCAAAACTTACTAAATGAATCAAAGATCACAAGCAAAGCTTACCCAGTAGCATCAGTGGCGTCCCGAGATATCTTCATCTTCTTTGTTGTCCCCTTATAGAGATCCTCCAAGCTACATGGCAATGTGCGTTCAATGGCAGCCCCTTTCCTAGGTTGCATGCTAGCAGAACTTTCACCCCCACCACCAACACCTCTAAATTGAGAAAATATATCATCACCAAACATGCTCCTTGGAAACTGCCCCCCTGGTCCTCCACGAGACCCTCCCATCTCCCCCATACCTCCAAATGGGCTAGAAAACCCAAAGAATTCAGAAAATATGTCATCTGCGTTACGAGGATTAAACCTGAACGTTGTTGAACCACCATCACTCGGCATACCAGAAAACCCACCGGCACCTGGTGGTGGCACCTGCCCCTTCAAACCCTCCTCACCGTATTGATCATAAATTTGCCTCTTCTGTGGATCACTCAAAACCTATATAAAAATGCAAAACCCTAACCCTAATTAACCAAATAATTTCAAAGATGGATAAATCTCATAGACCCCTAGCTCAAGATATCATAAAAGCATAATTCAACTGGAAAATTCGGACAATTCACGGTTAGATTCGTGTATATATACACACGCATCGATTGATTTAACATACAACCAATCTGAATCCAATCAATAGAGTTCAGAACCTTACAAAATCAATTAATCCTCTTGATAAGAACACATAGAAATGAAAATTGAAGGGTATTAAATGGACATTTCGATATACATACATCGTAGGCCTCGGAGATGGTTTTGAATTTGGCTTCCGCATCCTTTTTGTTGTTAGGGTTCTTATCAGGATGCCATTTCATAGCGAGCTTTCGATAGGCTTTCTTTAAATCATCGTCTTTAGCGTTGCGGTCTACCTGCAGAACTTTATAGTAATCCACACCCATGGCTGCCTGCCGACCCCAAATCGGCCTCCCTCAATGTATATCTATGGTTTGCTTGTGGAGCTTTCTTCGAGTCTTGTGTTTGTGTTTATTGTGGTTTCAAGAAACTTCTGGCGACATACTCCTCGTTTGTGAACGGAGGGTGAGTAAGCAACACACGGTGGTATTTGGGCTTTCAGGTGTTTTTCAAAGGCCCATTACCATAAGAGCAAATTGAAATTGAAATTGTATTTTTATTTTTAAAATCTTTATTTTAGATAATGTATTATGTGTTTGATTTGATTAATATATATTATTGTTATTCTTAATCATTTAATTTGATGATCACATGAAAAATCTGATAAAATATTTAGGTGGCGTTTGGTTCGTAAAATATTTTTGGATGAAATGAAATTTGTTAAATAAATTTGACTTTGAAATAATTTGAATAAAATGTTGTCAGATTTGACCAACTGTTTGGTTGGCACACATTGAAATGGAATTTGTTAAGAAATTGGAATATGTTTGTTTAGTTCATAGAATGTACCTTTGGAATTAGAATGAAATATTGGTAAATGACCAAAATGCCCCTTTTTGAAAATTTTAATTTTTTTAAAATTAAAAATACTTTAATAAAATAATTATTTAATATGTAAAACAATATAAAATACACAAAATAAATATAACTATAACCCAAATGACGTTACTAAATCAATGGTGGTCAACAATGGTTCAGATTGGTGGTGGTCCACGGTGGTTTAGATGGCAGTGGTTGGCAGTGGTTCAGATCAATGGTTGTCTGTGGTGGTTCAGATAGAGGTGGTCAATGGTGGTTCAAATCGGAAGTGGCGGCAGTGGTTTAGGTCGATGGTTGTTCAAATCATTGGTGGTCGATAGTGATTCAGATCGATGGTGGTCCATGGTGGTTCAGATGGTGATGGTCAAAAATGGTTCAAATAGGTGGTGGTCCATGGTGGTTCAGATGGCGGTGGTTGGCGGTGATTCAGATCGACAGTGGTCGAAGGTGGTCAATGATGGTCATATTGGGTTTTATGAGATTATGGCATATTGGGTTAAGGGCATATTTGGTATTACGAAAATAGGGAATTCCATTTCATCAAAATACCATGTAGTTGCTAAAGAATGTTAAATTCTTTCATTTGTGGAATTTGTAGGATTTTGATATTGTTTTCGTGAAAAAGAATGAACCAAACGATAGAATTGAATTTGGTCAATGGAATTCAACATTCCAATTCCATCAGATTGCCTTCAGAATCTGTGAAACAAATTCTCGTTAGAGAAGTTTAAGGACTTATTGTCTGAAATCTGAAATATAGATTAAGGATTAGATTGTCAAATTCGGGTTTATATGAGGATGGAGGTCGAAAGGCAATAGGATATGAAAATACTCAAGGATCTGAATTGCGCTCTAGGATCAGAAAAATTATCAAGATACAAATGATATGTTGATCCAAAAAAATATTAGGATCTAAAATGTTCTCGGGATTTGGAATATCTAAGGATCCAAGCTTTGTCATAGATCCAAATTTATAAAGGGTCCGGTTTTAAGTAATATGATCTTGTTGGGATTTGAAATATATCTTAAATTCCAGATAAAAGATTATAATATGATTTCAGTTGTAAAAGTCTTATTCTTGTATTAAGTATTAGTCTATGCAGAATGTCTTTACTAAAATAAAATGTTATTTGATGTGAAATTAGATGTTGAGCATGCCATGGGATAAGGCCGAACAAAATGGGATAAAACCTAATTTTCATGTACTAAACTTGAGTTCTTTTGTTCCACTTAAAAAGGTAGAAAAAACATGACAAAACACAAGATTACCATCTTGCCCTCAATACCTAACACCATAAAAAACCAAAATCGCCTTTTCCACCAGTTTCTCCTAAAGTCAATATATTTCGCTCACAACATCTACATCAAACATTATAACAAAATCAATTCATCCTTCACTTCCTCGACATCCATATCTGAAACTGATTTCATTACGTACTAGTCTGTGCAAACCGATTTCAAAAGAAACCAAACCTTAGTCTACAAATCGATTTCAGAAGAAATCAAACTCTAATCTACAAATAGATTTCTTGAAGAACGTGGTGTAGCCGTGTAAAAGATGAGTGGTGGCAGCTGTAACTTGAGATAGTTTGAAGGAAATGCCAAAGAAGATCTCATTGAACTTCTATGAAATGATTTCACGAGATTTAGCCAATCATATAATATCATTTAGAAATAGGAATCGTGCTATCAAATGGGGAAGAAGAACTTGGATTTTGATAAGGATTAGTTTATTGTTAAGTTTTTTAAAAATGGTTTGCAAACATGTTTTAAATAATTGTACACTAAATAGAATTATAAAAGGGTTAATTACATCAAAATGGAACCAATATTAAGTTAATTCCTATTTTGAGGAACTAATTTTCAAAACCTTTATTTTAGGGCTTAAAGCAAACTTTGCATTTAATTTGGGGGTCTGATAACTTGATGACCTACAAATACTGGCGTGGCTTCTATAATATTTTACGTGGCATTATAAATCATTAACATTTAATGAATAATCAAATGATGAGGATAATTAATTTTAATTTATATTGTTGTTTTCAACCATCGGATTTTCATCCATTTTGCATCTGACGGAACACCTAAAAAGGAATTTCTTAACACTTGTCTTACAATGAGTATATCCAATGAATAAAAATCATTAGATGTAACTCAAAAGTTTGAGCTTGGGCTCCAAAGGTCAAAAGTGTCTGGATGTCTCAGGTTCAAATTCAATGAGAAATAAAAATCCCCTTGTGGCCATAGAGGTTCAAATGCAGTGACTCCGGGCTACCCAAAACAGGTGGTTACCCTGGGATTAGTCGGTGCGTATAGCGAGTTGGATATCCAGGTTAATCAAAAGAAAAATTGTTGATCCTCTCTCTCAGTGATTTGATGATAATCCCTTTTCACCTATACGTTGTATTTATGTTTCTGTATTTTCAGTTCCAGCGATCTTCACTGAGTTTGTTCAGTGATCACTGAAGAACTTGCTTTGTAAATCTATCAGAGACAACAATACTTCAAGAAGACAACACTCACACCAAAGAACCTTTAGCAAACGTCGAAGACTGAAACTAAAGATTAGAGACCGGCGAGTACGTGATCTGAAGCGGTTTTCAGTGATTACAAGCATGTCTACATATGTGTGAAGACTGCTCAAGTTTCAGATGATGATGAGACCTTCAGGTCATTCCAGCATTCAGCGATCAAAGGAAGATTGCTTAGCACGATTGTTGTTGTCTTGTCCTTATACACACAAAGTACAAAACCCATACCCTTATGAAAATAGTACGGTACGGAGCCGACTAGTCGACTCTTTGTCCACCAATTTTAGTAAGGATGTCTGCTCATAAATAGTGCTTCTATACTATTCACTATAGTAAAGGACAAACCTTCCTCTTAAGGCTTGACACGCACTCTAAACCTACCATATTGCATTAAATGGACATTTAATGCACTGGGTATAAATAGAAGTGTTTYTTCTCCATGCAGAGTGGGTGTATCTCTCTCTCTAACCTTATTCTTACTTCAA